TGGGTGAGGGGGTGTCCTCCACCAGGAGGGAGTACTGAATGGGGTGGGAGAAGGGGAGGAAGATGTCGGTTAGAGTGTGCCTGAGTAGTTTGCACATAATAGATTCATTCCAACATTTCCATTATACAGCCTCCATGGCCTATAACAGTGATTTTCAAACTTTACTGCACTTTAGAATCACCTGAAAAGTGTTTAAAGATCCCAATGCCCAGATACTTCAGATATAGTTTAAATTAGAATCTCTGGGAAAGGATCCAGGCAGCAGTATTTTTCATATAAATTCAATTTTACAGTATTTTCCAACACAAATAAAACTAGTTGGCACTTCCATATTCTGTTTATGCGCCTCTTTTTCTTTCAATTTAGCAAAAGTTGTAAGTGGTAAAATTTTGTAAGTTTTAAAGTCTGATACGAAATTATATAAAATTGACCAGGCTTGTGGTGGGGGGGTTGGGGAGTGGAAGGGGTTACCATTTTACAAAATTCTATAATTTAAGGAAACCCTGGTGGCATAGTGGTTAAGTGCTATGGCTGCTAACCAAAAGGTCAGCACTTCAAATCTGATAGGCACTCCTTGGAAACTCTATGGGGCAGTTCTACTCTATCCCGTAGGGTCGCTATGAGTCGGAATCAACTCAACAGCAACGGGTTATAGTTTAAGACCACCAACATTACTTTAAATAATTTTCTGCTTTTGAATCCCAAGTGCTCTTGCAATTTTTCTAGGAAAATCACATGTACCGCATAAGAAAAAAAAACAAACTGGTATTCTAAATACATTTTTCTTTATACATTTCTTGTGTATGTGTGTGTGCACATGTGTAAAATGAGAATTCAAAACTGTGGAATTTTTTTTTCTTTCTTTTGTTACCAAAATTCAGGCACAGAAAATAAGTCACGGCAATCCTCTTCAACCTACCCACAATATGGGGTGAATTATGGAGATTTGGAGACGGACGTATAGAATTCAAGGAACTCATTCTTGTTTTTGGATAAAAGGTGACAGGGCAGAATAGTTGGTTGTTGTCTGGACAGAATAGTATGCTTTTTATTTTGTTTCTGCTGTTGATTTGTGACTTAGGAGACCCCATGTATAACAGAGTAGAACTTCTCCATATGGTTTTCTTGGCTGTAATCCTTACAGATCGCCAGGCCTGTTTCTTCTGCCAGTGGGTAGGTTCAAATCAATAACATTTTGGTTACCAGCCAAGTGCAAACTGTACCACTCAGGGACGTTAGGGTAGAATAGTTCGTATCTCAGAAGCAGATGAATTTATATGACAGTCCACATAATATGTAAATGTTATACAGAAAAATTACAGGCAGTCTCCAAGTTATGAACATCCAATTTACAGACAACTCACACTTGCTCTTTAATGTTATGTAAATTTGCCCTCATTTTGAAACAATTGAACCAACCCCTACTCACAATAAATTCTTCATCACAATCACCTTCACTTGCTGCATGAGTAGCTTTTATATCATCAAAAAACTTGGAACTGTTCTTTGCACTAAAGTAAGGCTAAATAAGAACCATATGCACCGGTTCCAACTTACCTACAAATTCGATTTATAAAGCACACTTTGGAAATGATCTCGTTTGTAATCCAGGGACTGCCTGTACTATGATAGACCCTGGAGAACAAATGTGTCCCTATTGCTCTAGAATGTCTTCCTAACTTAACATTGTTGAATAATAGTAGCACACTTGGGTGCTACTAGTAGAGTTGCAATAGAAATTGTTAAAAAAAATTAGCCTTAAAATTGCAGTGAAAATTGTTAACAACCCAATATGATTAAGGATAAAGTTTTCTTAAATATATATCTATATATAAATTCTTTTATATATATATATAAATATATATATATTTAAGTCAAATCAACAATATCGCCTGGGAACTTGTTAGAAACACAAATTATCAGACCCCGGCCCAGATTAACTGAATCAGAAACTAGGGGTGGGGCCAAGGAGCCAGGTTTTAACAGCCCTCCAGGTGACTGGTGCACAGCCACACTAAAGATTGAGAAGAGAAGCACTAGCTTAAAATGTAGGAGTCGGTAGTAGTTTGTGATTAGCTGCCAGCCTAAAGATGGGTGGTTTGAAGCCACCAAGCTGATCTGTGGAAGACAGGCATGGTGAAAAGCTTTCATAAAGAGTACAGCAAAGTAAACCTTATGAACTGATCTCCTCTGTAACACTTACGGTCGCCATGAGTGAGAATCGAACTGATGGCAACAGTCAAAATTAGATTTGTTTGTTTTTTGGCTTAAAATGCAGTGGCAAACTACAAACCTGAGCCAAATTCCACTAGAGAGCTACATTTTTTTTTTTTTTTTGCATTTAAAAGGGTTGTTTTAAAAACAAAAACAAAAACACAAGAAGAATATGCAACAGAGATAGCATGTAGCCTGCAAAGATTAAAATATTTACTATCTGAATATTTACTATCTGGCTCATTACATAAAAAGTTTGTTCCCTGCCCTTTCCTGGTTCTCAGCTAAAAATCTAAGGCCCTTCCCACCCTGAATTTTTATAATTGACTAAAATTAGACAAATTTTATATAAAAAATTCTATGGAAACAGTGGTGGTTCAGTGGTAGAATTTTTGCTTTCCATGCAGGAGACCCAGGTTGATTCTTGCACAGCCACACGACCCATCTGTCAGAGGAGGCTTGCATGTTGCTATGATGCTGAATAAGTTTCAGCAGAGCTTCCAGACTAAGATAAACTAGGAAGAATGGCCTGACAATCTGCTTCCCAAAATCAGCCATTGGAAACCTTATAGAGCAGAGTTCTCCTCTGACATACATGGAGTCATCATGAGTCAGAAATGACTTGACAGCAACTGGTTATTGGTGCACTTTGTAGCATTTTTTATGATTTGTGCATAGGTTTGTTCACGCACTTTAGAAAATGATTTATGCATGTAATTCCACCATAGAGAGAAATGAAGTTCTGATACAAGCTCTGACATGGTTTGTCGTTGTTAGGTGCTGTTGAGCTGGTTCCCACTCATAGCGACTCTATATACAATAGAATAAAACACTGCTCAGTCCTACACCATCCTCACAATCGTAGCTGTTTTTGAGCTCATTGTTGCACCCAGTGTCAATCCATCTCGTCGAGGGTCTTCCTCTTTTTGGATGACCCTACACCTTACCAAGCATAATGTCCTTCTCCAGGGACTGGTTCCTCCTGATAACATGTCCAAAGTATGCGAGATGAAGTCTCGCCATTCTCCCTTCCAAGGAGCACTCTGGCTATACTTCTTCCAAGACAGACTTGTTCATTCTTCCGGCAGTCCATGGTTTATTCAATGTTCTTTGCCAACACCATAATTCAAAGGCATCAGTTCTTCTATGGTCTTCCTTATTCATTGTCCAGCTTTTGTATGCATATGAGGCAATTGAAAATATCATGGCTTTGCATCAGGAGCACCTTAGCCCTCAAAGTGACATATTTGCTTTTCAACACTTTAAAAGGTCTGTTTCAACAGATTTGTCCAATGCAATACATCATTTGATTTCTTGATTGTTACTTGCATGGGCGTTGATTGTGGATCCAAGTAAAATGAAATCCGTACCAATTTCAATCTTTTCTCCGTTTATCATGATGTTGCTTATTGGTCCAGTTGTGAGGATTTTTGTTTATGTTGAGGTGTAATCCATACTGAAGGCTGTAGTCTTTGATCTGCATTAGTAAGTGCTTCAAGTCCTAATTGCTTTCAGCAAGCAAAGTTTTGTCATCTGCATATCACAGGTTGTTAATGAGCCTTCCTCTAATTCTGATGCTGGGTTCTTTTTCATATAATCCAGCTTCTCCGACATATGTACTTGCAGGGGCCAAAAATGTGTTGGACTCTCCAGTTGGACCATTAGTCTTGCCCGCTGAGGGCCCAGAGTTCTCCAGTCTACCCATTTTCTTGGGGCAGGGCACAAGAAGCATGCCCACTAAGGGCATGCCTGGCCCTGAACTTCCATCCTGCTAGGTGCCAGGGAGGGCAGGTCTGACCATTGTACCGCCACCAGGAGACCTGATCTCTTGTTGTCCCAGCTCCATTTGTTCTCCTGAGGAGAAGATCAGATACCTGCGTTCCCCATTGAGCCTTGCAACAGCCCTTGGAGGTGGCTCATTTACATAGAAGAAACCGAGGCTTATCCGAAATTTGCTGGAGGTGTCCTCCATGGCATAGCGGGAGTAGAACTCAGCGGGGAGGCCAGCAAGAACTTCCTCATATTCATCTTCTCCAGGTAAAGTCCCTCATGCCCTCGGAACTGGACCTCCTAACTTTCAGGCTCAGCTATTTCAAGAGGACCACAACATGTTAACTCCGATTTTCCCAGGTTCCGCGAAGATCTTTCTTGACTCAGGAGCAAGAAAAACATTTCTGGAAACCGTATCAGGTTCTGGGTAGAAATGACAGAGTTCGCTGAAGGATCATATGTGGAGGAGTGGAAGGGGAGACAAAAGGGCCAAGGGTTGTCACCAAGGTTTAAACTGGACAAGTAGACAAATGGGGTGGCTATTTTTTGAGATTGAGAAGGTGGAGTCTGAAGTTTGATTTGCGGAGTTTTAAAAGGTCTATAAAATATCTTAGAGAAGAATGTCTCATATGCAGCCTGGACTTCAGTGTAAACGTGTGGGCTAGCATGGATGGAAATTTTAGAGTCCTTAGTGTATAGTAGTACTTAAAGCTTGAGACGGAATCCACTTGATGGTTTTTTTTTTTCTTTTAGAGAGAGAAGGTTTATAGGAGGAGAAGAAGCCTGAGGACTCAGCTCAGGGCACTTGAGCAATTAGAAGTTGGGGAAACGTTCTGGCTCAGCAGACGCCACCTGGGCATGGCCGCGAAGCAGGTCCTATCGTGAGAACTGCATTTCCAAGAATCCTCTCCATCCCGTGATTCCGGGTCAGAGGCGGCCAATGAAATCCCGCGAGATATAGAAGGCGGAAGTGAAGCGGAAGCCATTAGTCTAGGGAGGCAGTAGCCGCGAGACACATGGGCAAGGGAGTGTGGTTCGCGACAGCTTCGTTGGCGCTGGTGGGGACTCCTCCTCATCCCTGCAGTAAACAGGGATCTTCCGTACGAACTTCTCGGCCTTTCGGCGGCGGGTTCTGGGACCTCCGCTTCCCCGGTCCTGCCCCCAGTCGCGTAAGCCCCGCTTGACTCGCTTAACCCCTCACCTCCCGCGTTCCTGAGGACGCGAGAGGCCCCCGAGGCAGGGAGGAGTAAGGCTGACCGGGCAGCCGGCAGCCAGGCGAGGGGTGTGTTTTAGACGCTGCGATCAGCAGTATGAAAAGCTGCTGATGCGAGAACGCAAATTCGACCACTGCTTTTAGCGACGTGTGAGGCTCTGGTGACCTGGTCAGAAAGCTGAGTCCTTTGGGTTGGAAGCATGAAAAGCCTGGCCAAAGTTAGTTCAGGAGATAATGAGAGGTCAGGAATTAGAGACCGCAAGGATAAACCACCCTTTTGCTTTGTGGTCAATTTTATCTAACGTTAAAAAGGCATACTGGTATTTTTGTTAGCATTTGCCCGGAATGTCTTTTATTTAACTTAACTTTTCAGTGCACTTCTTTTGTTACTGATTTTATTTATTTTAGTGACTTTTGTGTAAATAGCCTATAACTAGATTTTAAAAAGTCAATATTCTGTTAGACTTGAGAGTTAATCCATTAATATCGTGATTACTAATATTTTGCATTGGCTGTTACCATCTTATTTTGTGCTTTCCATTCTTCCTGTTCACATTTTTTAAATTGGGAAATGAAGGGGGGCGGGGAACTTGGTATGAACATGTGTATATACAATTAAAAGGCCAACAATAAAGCAAATTCAGAAACAAGGTCAAGAGATTATTAAATCCCAGAAACCTGTGTACTCCTTCCAATCTGCATGCTCCTCTTTCCTCATGATTTCCTTGTGGATTTCGGCGCTTATATATGTTCTCCCAAAAATATATTTCTTGCTTTTAGTAATTATTTGTGAATAGAATCATACTTGTAATATTTTCAGAGACATCCTTATTTGTTCACGTACCTTTTAATTTATCCACGTTAGTACACTTACACACAGTGAAAACTCGTGTACCACAACTTACTTGTCCATTCCGCTATAGATGGATATTTAGCGTGTTAACGCCTTTTTCTCTTAGTGAACAAGGCTACCATAAACTTTTTTGTACAGTGTCATGGTGCCCATGTGTAAGAGTTGGCCCAGGATTGGCATTCTGTGTCATGGAGGCTGCATAGTTAACATCCTTAAGTAACGTCAAAATATTTTTCTTTTGGGTGTGTGAGTGCATGAATGGGTGTATTCTTTATGTACATCAACAGTTTTAACTACTTTGTCGGTTTTTTTTTTTTTTTAATTTTAGTTTTGGTTTCCACATTTAAGTGCTTAATCCACCTCCAGTTGCTTTTTGTGCATGGTATTGATAAGGATTCAAGTTCATCTTTGTTTTTCCTAAGTGTAATGCCATCTGTAATAAATTACATTTCCATGTATTCGAAGGCATTCTTTTACCTTGGTTAATTTGCTGATCCCTGCAACAATACAGGAGTACAAAAGCTTACTAATTTCAGTAATTTCGTAATATAGAGATTTCTAAATATCTTGTGGATGATTATGTACATCTAGCCATTCTTTTTCAGGAGGAGCATGACCATTCCTTAGCCTTTTGTTCTTTCATATAAATTTTTTTTAGTCAGTTTATGAAGTTCTGCATACTGGAATTTTGTTTTCAGATTGTGTTTAATCAGTATATGACTTTTGGGAATATTGGCGGTTTTTTCCATTGAGCCATGCAATTCCTAATCAAATTATATCTCCATTTATCTGCATCTTCTATAATGCCTTTCAATAAAGTTTTATAAGTACCTGCAAAAAGGATTTAAGTTTTATTGTTTGATTTATTCCTAGGCATTTTGTTCTGCTGCTATGTAAATGGTATTATCTCAGAAGTAGTATTATGTCTCTTTCTAACTGCTTTGTATATTGAGTTTGGGTCCAGATAACTGGCTGAAGTCTATAATTAATTATTTTAATTTTTGTGGTTTTCTTCATAGACAATTTTATCATCTGTATAAATTAACTAAATGTTTATGTTTTCCCTTTGCATCATACACATTTTCTATCCTTTCAGGACTGGCAGGGACTTCCTGTATCATTGATTAGAGTTTGGATTAGAAACTTTAGGCAGTCCTGTTTTCTTTCTGATCCTAAACAGAATTAACTTTTATGTTTGTTGGAGGCCCCAACCCTTTTGGGTTAAAATATATATTACAAAAAGTCTGACATTTTCATTTTTTAGGTGTACAATCCAGTGACATTAATTAAATTCACCATGTTGTGCTACCATCACCACTATCCATTTCCAAAAATTTGCATCACCCCAAACACCTTTTCTTTCTTTTTTTTTTTTTTTTAAAGATAGTCTTTTAGGTTAAGGAAGCTCCCTTCTCTCTTTATGGGAATTTTTCTCATGTGTAGATATAGACTTAAAAAAAAATTAGTGTGGCAAAATATATGTCTGTGGAGTCCCTGGATGGTACAAACCGTTAGTATTGCTAACTGAAAGATTGGAGGTTCATGTCTACCCAGAGCCCTTGGAAGAAAGGCCGGGTGATCCACTTCTGAAAATCAGTCCTTGAAAAAACGGTGGAATATAGTTCTACTCTGACACACATGGGGTCACCATGAGTCAGAATGGACTCCAGGGCAAATGGATGAAAATAAGTATATACATATGTATATATATAAAACCAAAACCCTTTTGCCGTGGAGTCAATTCCAACTCATAAGGACCCTACAGGACAGGGTAGAACTGCCCCATAGGTTTTCCAAGGAGCGACTGGTGGATCTGAACTGCTGGCCTTTTGGTTAGCAGGCATAGCTATTAACCATTGCACCACCACGTCTCTCTCTCCCCCTCTCTCTCCTCCCTCTCTCTCTCCCCTCCCTCTCTCTCCCCCCTCCCTCTCTCCCTCTCTCTCTCTCTCCCCCTCCCCCTTTCCCTCTCTCCCTCTCTCTCTATATAAACCAAGAAATTTTCATTTTAACCATTGTTATATGCACATTTCAGTGGCATTAATTGCATTCATCATGCTATGCAACCATCATCACCGTCTAGTTCCAAAAGTTTTTCATCACCCCAAACAGAAACTCAGTATCCCTAACCCCTGTTAAACACTTACAAACTTTTGTTTCTGCATTTGTCTATTCTAGATTATATGTAGGCTTTTTAGCGTCTACTTTCATATCAGTTTATTGATATATTTCAAGTACCTTTTACGGTGTCTGGCCTGTGATATGCTCTCAGTACTGTTTGTGCATTGAATGAGTGAAACAATATGATTTTCTTAATTATCTGCTAGGGTGGTGAATTAAACCAATTGATTTTCTAATGTTAAAATAAATTTGCATTGGTGAGTAACTAACTTGGACATGGTATATGCTCCATTGTCATTTTGGGTTCAGTTTGCTAATATCTTGTTTGGTGTTTTTGGATCTGTGCATGAAATTTGCTTGTAATTTTCCTTTTCTGAGGAATTGCAATGTAGTATTTTCATTATATTTCAGTTTTGAATATTATCGGATATTAGGGCCGCTTTGACATGTGAGTTATTTAGAATTTTTTCTTTTAATTTCCATTCCTGTGATATTTTTCTGGTTTTCTTTTGGTCGTCGATTACTAACTTCATTGCTCTGCGGTCCAAGATTGATGTCATTTTCTGAGAGGTGCCTATGGCCCCATGTGTGGTTGAATTTTTAAAGTTAGGAAATGCTGTTTCAGTTCAGCTAATTAATGTTATTCAGTCTGCTATATAGTTACTGAATTGCCTGCTTGAACTGTATTAGGGAGAATGCTGGTGGTGGCCTCCTCCATTTTTCCTTGAAATTCTGTTCTTTTGTTTTACATTGTATCATTCTGAGGCTATGTCACAATGTATATACATCTTTCTCTTGAATTATACCTGTTGTCATTATGTAATACCTCATTTTTTTCTACTAAGCTTTTTTGCTTTAATCCATTCCGTCTGATACTAATATGGTTGAACTAGCTTTCTTCTTTCTTTTTTTATAAGTGTTTGCCGTGTGTATCTTCTTTTTATTTCTAACTTTACTATAGCCTTAAGTTTTTAATATCTCTTGTAAACAGCATATAACTAGATAATTTTCTCCTTATATTACCTCCGTATTTTTTATTGTGGTAAAAATATGCATAACAAAATATTTGCCAATCTAATAGTTTTAAATTTTAACATGTATAATTCAGTCGTGTTGATTACAATCTTCATGTGCCACCATTGTCACTATCCTTTTCCAACTTATTCCACCACCATTAACATAACTTCAGTGCCCCCTAAACAGTAACTCCCCCTTCCCTCTCCCTGTACCCCTGATAACCAGTAATGAACTTTGCTTTCTATATATTTGCACATCTCATGTAAGTGGTATCATAGTATTTGCCCTTTTGTGACTGACTTAACGTATAACTGGGTTATTTTTAATTCATTGTGACAATATTTATATTTGAATTGAAGAATTTAGTCCATGAACATCTTATAAATATTTTTGTGTCTAATTTCTTTTGTTTTCCTAGCTTCTTTTTAAAAAATATTATTGTGTGCAACTCAGTGACATAAAATTGTGCAGCCATCATGACTATTTCCAAAAGTTTTTCATTAATCCAAACAGAAACTTAGCGCCCCTTAAGGAGTAGCTCCCCCACCCCTTGGTAACCACTAATAAACTTTTGTTTCTATGCATTTTCCTATTCTAGATATTTCATATAAGTGGAGTTATAAAATATTTGTCCTTTTGTGTCTGATTTATTTCACTCAGTGTAATGTTTTCAAGGTTCATCCATGTGTAGCATGTCATACCATGTATCAGACCTTTATTCCTCATTATGGCTGGATAGTATTCTATTGTATGTGAATACCATGTTTTATTTATTCATTCATCTGTTGATTTCTGCCTTTTGACTATTGTGAATAATGCTGCAATGAACATTGGTGTGCTACTTGAGTCCATGCTTTCAATTCTTTTGAGATGCTCTAGCTTCTTTTGATTTGAATGTTTTTCTCATTTCACTTTGTTCCCTACACATTTAAAATTTGTTATTTTAGTGGTTATCCTGAATAAGT